ACCAATCAGCGTAGATCAATGTCTACCAATTGGCTAGCAGCTTGCTCTCACCACACCCTTTATGAATTTAGATAAAGGAATAAGAAGACGTAATTTTTCTGAATCGTGTGCAATGTGTATTTGCGCAACACATTTCGAACAGTCTGATCCATCATACACGGACTTGTCATAGGAATATATATGAAATTAATAAAGATTTAAGAGGTGGGTGAGAAAATAGACTACTTAGGTCAAGTTAAAAGGAGTGTAACGACAGAAGGCAAGAGTCAGGCAACAGATCATTTATTAAGGAAATCAACGCATATTTATATATGTTTCCATGTACATTACTATGGATACGTAAACAAACAAACACAGTCTTCCGATTGGTTGTTTCTCACGACAAATCTTGGGAACGTAAATATTGACGTAAATCACTATCTACCAATTTGGCTAGTAGACAGCTCTCACCACAGGAGGATATATTGAAGGTCAAAATAACAATGAAGACCACTAAACCAAATAACAGAGGTAATAGTACATCTGCTGTGGTATCAAAACAAAATTTACCAAGGTGGGTTTAGTGCGGTGACGAATTGCTGTTTTGAACGCACAAAGGTGGTTTAAACTTCCTAACTGCCAGCTTGGGCTTCCACAAACTTCAGGATACGCCCTCCCCAAAACACGCTTTTATAGATAGGTATAAAAGATGTGTTGACGTCAATTTTATGTTCTGTCTCCTCTGTAATATGTTTCGCAATAGAGGAGCTAGCTAGGTCTTCGTCTCTTCTCACCATTAATGGATTCTGAAGATTCCATTTGTTTCTGGAGCCATTTAGGAATATGTTGTGTAGCCAGCCCTTACTTCTCATTGCAACTCTGCATTGATGATATCAATCCATTTGTGCGTGCGAGCGTACTGCCTGGTCAAACTCGTAAAAATAAATCTAATCCCTAAAAACTAACTATGCGAATAATAATGATAATAATGTTAATAATATTAATATTAATAAATAGATAGGTAGTGCAATGGCTACAGGCTTGTCGACAAGTCTGTGGGCTAATTACACACACACACATGATGGTTGGTGTATGATTGGATTGGTCAAATAGATTTGACCTAATGAGACTGGCTAAATATTTATCTATTTATTTATCACAGGTGTGATGTGATGTGATCACAGTAAGTGGTCAGTTAGACTACCATTACTACTACTACTACTACTACTACTACTACTACTACAAGTAATAGGAGTACTAGGAAAATATAAATGAACCCACCTCACACCCTGGTAGACATGGTGGGAGGGAGGGATGACAAATAACTGGCACAGACAGAGAGGGGGGGGGGTGGTGGGTGATGAAATACAGCTACAAAGGTAAAACTAAACTTACAAACCAAATAGGGTGTACAGTGGTGGGGTGACGGGGTGGATGTATTGTAGGATAGTGTAATGTAGTGTGATGCATTCTAATAGTGAATGAATGAGGAGAGGAATAAAACCCATATGTATATCTCGTCAGTGTGAAATGTTACGAAATTTAATGACACCAAAATTTCAGTTATATAATTATAATAGCCTTGAGAAAATCATCAGATCAGATCAGATCAGGTCGAAAATGTCAAACCATAAAGAATTTATGACAAATAGTGTACATTTCAGACAGACAAAAAATGTATCGGGCACTCACCATTATCAATGTCACACACACATAGGTGAAATAGGATACTTGTCATAATTATTAATAATAATAGGTAAATTAGTATTAATAGATGTTTCATTTGCAGACCACCACCACCACCACCACCATTACCGTCACACATATCATCAGGTCATGTATATGCAAACCTAACTGACTAACTAACTAGTACAAATGAAATAAGGGTGGGGGGAAAGGTGTGTGTGTGTGTTGGGGTGGGGTGGGGTGGGGGTGAGAGCGTTTTGATGTCTGGCTAGAGAAGTAGAGAGGTATATAAGCTGTGATGCTTACATTCAAAGACCATTATTACAGAATTTATTAAGCATGCAGGTGAGCGGGCGAGCGAGCGAGCGAGGAGTGATATATTTGGTGGTGTAGACTAATTGTCCCTTTTGTATTCACAGCATCATCATCATCATCATCAGCATCAAGCATCACGATCATGAGGCAGAGGAGGAAATCAACTCAGATAATGTGGGGGATATTGAAGAAGACGAAGAGGTGCAGCAGCAGTAGCAGTAGCAAATTGTAAGACAGGCAGGAGATGCTTTTCTGGTAAACTGCATGAATAATGAATGCATAACGCCAATAGCCGCCGCCGCCGCCTTGGTGGATGGAATGATACAACTAAACAACCAAAATTTACTGACATGAAAGAAAACGCTTACAACCGTTACAAACAAGATGCAGCTTTTAGTGATTGGAATTTCCGGAAATGTGAATGAATGCAACGCGCATACAAGGAAGAGAGAGAGAGGTGCCAAGGAATGGATGATATATTTATTACCTTTGTTGTATTTTCCCCATATCGTCGTTTCGAGACGCTGTTGTCAAAGAATACATATATAATATAGTGAAAAATTAAGACACTAGCAACAACAACAACAACAGTAACAACAACACCTTGCCAACGCTCGGTTATTACCACACCAAACAGGACTGGACTGGACTGGACTGGAGAGGGAAGTAAGTAAGTACCGCTTCTTTTTTCTCTGTCTCACATATTTTAGTGGATTCATATATGACATCACATATGACATAATAATAATAATAGTAATAATAATAGTAATAGTAACAATAATAATAATTTACTTAAACATGTGTGTTGTGCTGATTGATGACTACATGGCATCGTCACTTAAAGGGAGACAGACAGTAGACGATAAGTAGTATAAGAGGATATTTGTCAGTTAGTTGGCGTATTCAATTCTCATTCATTCTCGGTATATTATTATTATTATTATTATTATTTTTACGAGTTGATCACGGACTGATATCAGTTAGAGAACCATTGTAACCGGAAGGTCCTGGGTTCGACCCCGGCGCAGTGTGTGCGTACTGCCGATGATTCCCAAACTAGGCTGATGAAACAGCAGCTGTCCAGTACTCCCTGCTTGTTTTCAATGGTTCTCTAACTGATATCAGTCCGTGATCAACTCGTAAAAACATAACAAACCCTTACAAACCAAATTATAGAAAATATTATTATTATTATTATGATTATCACGATTATTATTATCCATAATATTATTATTATTATCATGATTATTATTATTATTAATATTATTAGTAATAGTAGTAGTAGTAGTAGTAGTAGAGTAGTAGTAGTAGTAGTAGTAGTATTAGTAGTGGTAGTAGTAGTAGTAGTATAATTATTGTCTTGCTTAATTACTAGAGGAGCACAAGGCTACAGCCGTACATCTCAATTGCGGCACCCCTTCATATACCTATAATTATACCTATAGCTATACCTATAAAATTATTATAATGATGAGATGTAAGGTTATGTGGTAGTAAGTAAGCCAGCCAGCTAGGTAGCTAGCTTCATTCCAATGAAGTATTTCATCATTTTATTTCTGTAGTTGTAATTATCCCGGAGTAGTTAATGTCAGTAAATAATTAATTGTGTTGAGCATTAAATTACATTGTCGAATAGATGATGGACGGTCAAATAAATAAATAAATAAATACTATATTTCAATAGTTTACACACAATGATAAGTTCTGTTTGTGTTGTTTGTCTGTTCATGTTTGGTAGTAGTATATTTTGAGCGAGACTACTGCCCGAGATCGTCATAACACCAACTGTGTGAGTGTTTGAATTCCGTTTTTCTCTTTTGTTGTTCGACCAAAATCAACAAACAAGAACTTATCATTGTGTGTAAACCGCCACGGGCTCGAACCCAGACAGCAACCACCTTCTGGTTGGTTACAAGGCAAGCAAGGAAGCGTACTACTACTATTGAAGCGGCCCAAACTAGCTAGGCTGACAATACAGCTGGCTGGCTGGCTGGCTGGCTGGCTGGCTGGCTGGCTGGCTGGCTGGCTGGCTGGCTGGCTGGCTGGCTGGCTGGCTGGCTGGCTGGCTGGCTGGCTGGCTGGCTGGCTGGCTGGCTGGCTGGCTGGCTGGCTGGCTGGCTGGCTGGCTGGCCAATACTCCCCTCCAACCTCCTTCCACCAAGCTGCTTTTACAAGGCTTCTTTCTCTCTCTTGCTAACTGATAAACAGATAGATAATTATTCATCATGTCAGCTCATGATGAAATCCTCCCTCCCTCCCTACCTACCTACCTACCTACCTACCTACCTACCTCCAACTAATAAATAATAATTCCTTCAATTTATAATTGCGTCAAATTAAAAGTCATTTATTTATCTTTTACTACTACTACTACTACTACTACTACTAAATGAATCAAGGAAAATGATGTATAATGAATGAATGAATTAATTAATTATACAAGGCATGATCATCTATTCTTCAGATGACTGACTAATGATGAAAAAATCAATATTACATCTGTATATTTTCAAAATGACTGACTGGATCGATAAATAGACAGATAAATAGGTGCCTGTATGTTATAAATATTAATAATAATATTAATAATAATAATAGCGCCTTTAGTGCAGTGAGTACTGAGAAATCGCAGTTTAAGGGGCTAGTGCAAGGATAAAGAAGAAAAAGTATTACATACGTACGTATTTGGGCACAATGTTAGGTAATTGAAATAGACAAATAGACATACAGACAGACAGACAGACCTACCTTCCCAGTCTGCAATTAATCCATCAGCAAATGTGTCAGTCAGTCAGGAGGCGGTCAGTGAGTTTTAAACGGTGAGGTCCAACCAGTCAACTGTGTGAGGCGGTAAATGCATCACGAATTGGTAGAATGGGTTAGAATTCATGCGTTGGCCATTGAATCGGGTCGGGTCGGTTCGGGTAGGGTCCCAGTGAGTGAGTGGTCGCTGAATGGTATACGAGCCAGCCAGCTAGCCAGCTTGCCTTGCTTGTAACCGGAAGGTGCTGGGTTCGAACCTACCCATTGAGGTGATTTGATGATGATGATGATGATGATGATGATGATGATGATGATGATGATGATGATGATGATGATGATGATGATGATGATGATGATGATGATGATGATGATGATGATGATGATGATGATGATGATGATGATGATGATGATGATGATGATGATGATGATGATGATGATGATGATGATGATGATGATGATGATGATGATGATGATGATGATGATGATGATGATGATGATGATGATGATGATTCCCAAACTAGACTGATGAGATGAAACAGCTGGCTGTCCAGTACTCCACAAGGCCCCAGCTGGTGTTCAATCCACCTTCTCATTGCAACTCTGCATTGATGATATCAATCCATTTGTGCGTGCGAGCGTACTGCCTGGTCAAACTCGTAAAAATAAATCTAATCCCTAAAAACTAACTATGCGAATAATAATGATAATAATGTTAATAATATTAATATTAATAAATAGATAGGTAATGCAATGGCTACAGGCTTGTCGACAAGTCTGTGGGCTAATTACACACACACACATGATGGTTGGTGTATGATTGGATTGGTCAAATAGATTTGACCTAATGAGACTGGCTAAATATTTATCTATTTATTTATCACAGGTGTGATGTGATGTGATCACAGTAAGTGGTCAGTTAGACTACTGCTACTACTACTACTACTACAAGTAATAGGAGTAATAGGAAAATATAAATGAACCCACCTCACACCCTGGTAGACATGGTGGGAGGGAGGGATGACAAATAACTGGCACAGACAGAGAGGTGGGGGGGGTGGTGGGTGATGAAATACAGCTACAAAGCTAAAACTAAATTTACAAACCAAATAGGGTGTACAGTGGTGGGGTGACGGGGTAGATGTATTGTATTGTAGTGTGTGTAGTGTGATGCATTCTACTAGTGAATGAATGAGGAGAGGAATAAAACCCATATGTATATCTCGTCAGTGTGAAATGTTACGAAATTTAATGACACCAAAATTTCAGTTATATAATTATAATAGCCTTGAGAAAATCATCAGATCAGATCAGATCAGGTCGAAAATGTCAAACCATAAAGAATTTATGACAAATAGTGTACATTTCAGACAGACAAAAAATGTATCGGGCACTCACCATTATCAATGTCACACACACATAGGTGAAATAGGACACTTGTCATAATTATTAATAATAATAATAGGTAAATTAGTATTAATAGATGTTTCATTTGCAGACCACCACCACCACCACCATTACCGTCACACATATCAGGTCATGTATATGCAAACCTAACTGACTAACTAACTAGTACAAATGAAATAAGGGTGGGGGGAAAGGTGTGTGTGTGTGTTGGGTGGGGTGGGGTGGGGGTGAGAGCGTTTTGATGTCTGGCTAGAGAAGTAGAGAGGTATATAAGCTGTGATGCTTACATTCAAAGGTCATTATTACAGAATTTATTAAGCATGCAGGTGAGCGGGCGAGCGAGCGAGCGAGTGATATATTTGGTGGTGTAGACTAATTGTCCCTTTTGTATTCACAGCATCATCATCATCATCAGCATCATCATCAGCATCACGATCATGAGGCAGAGGAGGAAATCAACTCAGATAATGTGGTGGGGGATATTGAAGAAGAAGAAGAGGTGCAGCAGCAGTAGCAGTAGCAAATTGTAAGACAGGCAGGAGATGCTTTTCTGGTAAACTGCATGAATAATGAATGCATAACGCCAATAGCCGCCGCCGCCGCCGCCTTGGTGGATGGAATGATACAACTAAACAACCAAAATTTACTGACATGAAAGAAAACGCTTACAACCGTTACAAACAAGATGCAGCTTTTAGTGATTGGAATTTCCGGAAATGTGAATGAATGCAACGCGCATACAAGGAAGAGAGAGAGAGGTGCCAAGGAATGGATGATATATTTATTATCTTTGTTGTATTTTCCCCATATCGTCGTTTCGAGACGCTGTTGTCAAAGAATACATATATAATATAGTGAAAAATTAAGACACTAGCAACAACAACAACAACAGTAACAACAACACCTTGCCAACGCTCGGTTATTACCACACCAAACAGGACCGGACTGGACTGGACTGGACTGGAAAGGGAAGTAAGTAAGTACCGCTTCTTTTTTTCTCTGTCTCACATATTTTAGTGGATTCAAACACATATGACATAATAATAATAATAATAGTAATAGTAACAATAATAATAATTTACTTAAACATGTGTGTTGTGCTGATTGATGACTACATGGCATCGTCACTTAAAGGGAGACAGACAGTAGACGATAAGTAGTATAAGAGGATATTTGTCAGTTAGTTGGCGTATTCAATTCTCATTCATTCTCGGTATATTATTATTATTATTATTATCTTTACGAGTTGATCACGGACTGATATCAGTTAGAGAACCATTGTAACCGGAAGGTCCTGGGTTCGACCCCGGCGCAGTGTGTGCGTACTGCCGATGATTCCCAAACTAGGCTGATGAAACAGCAGCTGTCCAGTACTCCCTGCTTGTTTTCAATGGTTCTCTAACTGATATCAGTCCGTGATCAACTCGTAAAAACATAACAAACCCTTACAAACCAAATTATAGAAAATATTATTATTATTGTTATGATTATCACGATTATTATTATCCATAATATCATTATCATTATCATGATTATTATTATTATTATTAGTAATAGTAGTAGTGGTAGTAGTAGTTGTAGTATAATTATTGTCTTGCTTAATTACTAGAGGAGCACAAGGCTACAGCCGTACATCTCAATTGCGGCACCCCTTCATATACCTATACTTATACCTATAGCTATACCTATAAAATTATTATAATGATGAGATGTAAGGTTATGTGGTAGTAAGTAAGCCAGCCAGCTAGGTAGCTAGCTTCATTCCAATGAAGTATTTCATCATTTTATTTCTGTAGTTGTAATTATCCCGGAGTAGTTAATGTCAGTAAATAATTAATTGTGTTGAGCATTAAATTACATTGTCGAATAGATGATGGACGGTCAAATAAATAAATAAATAAATACTATATTTCAATAGTTTACACACAATGATAAGTTCTGTTTGTGTTGTTTGTCTGTTCATGTTTGGTAGTATATTTTGAGCGAGACTACTGCCCGAGATCGTCATAACACCAACTGTGTGAGTGTTTGAATTCCGTTTTTCTCTTTTGTTGTTCGACCAAAATCAACAAACAAGAACTTATCATTGTGTGTAAACCGCCACGGGCTCGAACCCAGACAGCAACCACCTTCTGGTGGATTACAAGGCAAGCAAGGAAGGGTACTACTACTATTGAAGTGGCCCAAACTAGCTAGGCTGACAATACAGCTGGATGGCTGGCTGGCTGGCTGTCCAGTACTCCCCGCCAACCTCCTTCCATCAAGCTGGTTTTACAAGGCTTCTTTCTCTCTCTTGCTAACTGATAAACAGATAGATAATTATTCATCTGGTCAGCTCATGATGAAATCCTCCCTCCCTCCCTACCTACCTACCTACCTCCAACTAATAAATAATAATTCCTTCAATTTATAATTGCGTCAAATTAAAAGTCATTTATTTATCTTTTACTACTACTACTACTACTACTACTACTACTACTACTACTACTACTACTACTACTACTAAATGAATCAAGGAAAATGATATATAATGAATGAATGAATTAATTAATTAATTATACAAGGCATGATCATCTATTCCTCAGATGACTGACTAATGATGAAAAAATCAATATTACATCTGTATATTTTCAAAATGACTGACTGGATCGATAAATAGACAGATAAATAGGTGCCTGTATATTATATATATATTAATAATAATAGCGCCTTTAGTGCAGTGAGTACTGAGAAATCGCAGTTTAAGGGGCTAGTGCAAGGATAAAGAAGAAAAAGTATTACATACGTACGTATTTGGGCACAATGTATGTTAGGTAATTGAAATAGACAAATAGACATACAGACAGACAGACAGACAGACCTACCTTCCCAGTCTGCAATTAATCCATCAGCAAATGTGTCAGTCAGTCAGGAGGCGGTCAGTGAGTTTTAAACGGTGAGGTCCAACCAGTCAACTGTGTGAGGCGGTAAATGCATCACGAATTGGTAGAATGGGTTAGAATTCATGCGTTGGCAATTGAATCGGGTCGGGTCGGTTCGGGTAGGGTCCCAGTGAGTGAGTGGTCGCTGAATGGTATACGAGCCAGCCAGCTAGCCAGCTTGCCTTGCTTGTAACCGGAAGGTGCTGGGTTCGAACCTACCCATTGAGGTGATTATGATGATGATGATGATGATGATTCCCAAACTAGACTGATGAGATGAAACAGCTGGCTGTCCAGTACTCCACAAGGCCCCAGCTGGTGTTCAATCCACCTTCTCATTGCAACTCTGCATTGATGATATCAATCCATTTGTGCGTGCGAGCGTACTGCCTGGTCAAACTCGTAAAAATAAATCTAATCCCTAAAAACCAACTATGCGAATAATAATGATAATAATGTTAATAATATTAATATTAATAAATAGATAGGTAGTGCAATGGCTACAGGCTTGTCGACAAGTCTGTGGGCTAATTACACACACACACACATGATGGTTGGTGTATGATTGGATTGGTCAAATAGATTTGACCTAATGAGACTGGCTAAATATTTATCTATTTATTTATCACAGGTGTGATGTGATGTGATCACAGTAAGTGGTCAGTTAGACTACTGCTACTACTACTACTACTACTACAAGTAATAGGAGTAATAGGAAAATATAAATGAACCCACCTCACACCCTGGTAGACATGGTGGGAGGGAGGGATGACAAATAACTGGCACAGACAGAGAGGGGGGGGGGGTGGTGGGTGATGAAATACAGCTACAAAGCTAAAACTAAATTTACAAACCAAATAGAGTGTACAGTGGTGGGGTGACGGGGTAGATGTATTGTATTGTAGTGTAGTGTGATGCATTCTACTAGTGAATGAATGAGGAGAGGAATAAAACCCATATGTATATCTCGTCAGTGTGAAATGTTACGAAATTTAATGACACCAAAATTTCAGTTATATAATTATAATAGCCTTGAGAAAATCATCAGATCAGATCAGATCAGGTCGAAAATGTCAAACCATAAAGAATTTATGACAAATAGTGTACATTTCAGACAGACAAAAAATGTATCGGGCAGCCACTCACCATTATCAATGTCACACACACATAGGTGAAATAGGATACTTGTCATAATTATTAATAATAATAGGTAAATTAGTATTAATAGATGTTTCATTTGCAGACCACCACCACCACCATTACCGTCA